CTACGTGGCCATAAAAGGGTATTCTGTTAAATAAAAGTTTGAATTTGCAGACTCGTTGAAGTAAGGCCATTACCACAGCCGCCTCTTGGTCCTGTCAGGCGCTTAAGGAATGCGGAAGAATTTGGTCATGGATTAGTTTTCTTTTGTAAGCGTCGCAGGCCTTTGACACAGACTGTCTCAGTGGCTGCAGCTGGAACCTGCATTTTAGGGCTTAACTATGTTGCCTACACTGCATTTTTTACCTCTGCATGCTCTTCCTTATTTTTGTGGTCATTGGTTATAAGTAGCAAAGAGGTTTTAAAACCACAGGAGGAAATACTCAAGTCATGAAGAAAAAAAGAGCACCACGAAGGAAACCTACTATACTCTAGTTATATTTTCATAATGTGAAAAAAGGGGTTGTCCAACTTTTTTTTTTTTTTTTTTTTTTTTTTTTTTTATATGAAATATATATTGTTTTGTGTAACTGCTGCTGATGTGTAATAGAGTAAAGAGAAACTTGATGTGAAACGGCAGCATTGAAGTTGTTGTATCAGTGATTTGGTTCACCGAAGCCCCGACGTGAACACAGTTTTCTTTGTGTTGCTGCAGGGCAGAAGCTCAGGCCTCGCAGAGAGAGCTGGCCGGACTGTCTGAGCGCTACTCTCAGAAGTGTCTGGAGCTAAACAGAGCTGAACAGAACAACGCAGAGAGGGAACGGGAAATCAGCCGCAAGGAGAGAGACATGGAGCAACTGAGGAAAGAGAACCAGGTGGGTCAGCTGCAGTAGACTCAGCTGGGAAGAATGATGCATTCACTTTACAGCCCCCAACTAAATATGTGTATGCAGATTTCTACAAACAAACGGCCATTACTTGAAATCACACAGGCCAAATTTTTTCCTTTAGGACTTAAAGGCCCGTTTGACAGAGGAGATGAAACGAATACAATCTGCCATCAGAGATCACGGCTCAGAGGACAAAAACAGGATGCCCTGCGAGCTAGAGGTAACAACTCTTTAATGTATACCTGAAACTGAAAGCATACCAGGCACTTCTGTATCTGCTAGGACTTTTTTTTTTTTTAAGCAATACCAGCGTGAAACGGTTGTGAAAATCTGCAAGTTGCACCGAGAGCTGCAGCATTACTTTAGAAGAACAACAATAACTGACAGCAAGCCTAAGAAATGGCCTGCTTTATGGGTGTGTTGTGCTCAGCTACATAAAGATACCTGTTTGTAGTCAATCTGATGCCATAGATGAGGCATTCAAATGAGTACTTGTTATACTTATTATTTTCTCTCATATCTATACTGTTGAAATTGTGGATGCTTACAATGAACATTGCCAAAGATTAGACTTTGCAAAAACTACTTTAGTAAAGTCCAGCGAGCTGTAAATTCCACTACAATCTATTTCTCTGTCGTCAGTACATTCGGCCTTGGGTGAAAAATAAATCTCTGCGAATATAGTTCACTGTAACAGCTGCAGATTATCTAGCATGATTTATGCATTTGGGTCACAGCAAACATGTCAGCAGTACAAACCTCTCCAAATTCAACTGGAGAATGCAGAGTTTGAGTTGGACTCTACGGTAATCTGTCAATGTTTGCAGAAATATTCAAGAATATGCTTCAGCCTGACCGTTTTGGCCTCTCAAGTAAATGACAGTGGTGTTCCGGCCCTTATCTACAACTACATAAATTACAGTGCAGGCTGTTTTGTCATTTAAAGGAAACGCCCACAATATGTGTTTTTTATTTTTTTGTTTTTTTCCCAGGTTCTACTCAGGATGAAAGACAACGAGATACAGTACTTGCAGAAAGAGATCAGCTGTCTAAGAAATGAGCTGCAGTTCCTTAACATGGTAGTGTGTGTGTGTGTGTGTTTGAGGGGTGGATTTTTTTCATGAATTTACCAATAGGCTGTAAATAAAAGATGCAAGTAGTTATTGTGACCTCCCATTGTGTTGGATTTTCGCTGTTGCCTTTTTGGTGTTTTGAAACAAGGTGTGTTCAGATGAGACGGTAGAGCTTTTAATCAAATGCTAGCTGGGTTAGCAGGGCGCATCTCCGCCCTGCTGCTCCGTGACTTGTCTACAAATACAAGTTCGTTTTTGGCTTGTCATTTTTGGCAACTGCGGCAGTCTGCTGTCATTCAGAACAATCTCAGTGAGGTTTTTGGCAGCACCCTCTTTGTGACCAGTTTCACCTAGCAACAGCTACCAACCACTTTGGTTGGTTTTCTGGGGAGTACAAATCTTTCCCCCTCATCGAGAGGTTTCCAACCATTAGTACCTACTCAGATCGACTTGTACCAAGGTGTTTTTTTTTTCTTTTCTTTACTCAAATGAGGACCAAAATTTACTAAATGAATCACCATGCTCTGTAGAAGACATATTGACTTTTTAGGTCTGAAGAGCACTGTCATCTTTGATGTACAGTCTATAGGTGAATGCCAACATTGTCATAGAAAATGCAGATCATGAGTAATTTAGCTAGTTTAAAACATGCATGCAAGATGTTTTTTTGTTTTTTTCCCTTCACAGTGGATGTGATGTCACTGAGATAGCCTGAGAGATTTTCTGTCACTCTGCTCCACAGGAAAAACAGCTGGCCTGTAAGCGATATGGAGAGTTGCAAGAGGAACTGAGTGGGATGAAGGGCCGAAATGAGCGAGAGATTCAGAGTCTAAAGGAGCACTTGAAGCTGGCTATGGCTGCTCTGCAGGAGGGGCAAAAGCTGGGGAACAGCCTAGACCACTGAGAGAATACTTCTGGTACTAAAGCTCTGTCAGACATGGTGACCAGTGCGGACTGATATGGAACAGATGTTTTCTCGTTTGTTTGTTGTTTAGGAGAACGAAAGGATGGTTACTGTTTTTGCTGGACAGTCCCTGCTGTGTGGAGACTTTGATAATGCCTTAAATTTTAATCACTCTGCCAATAAGAGCACAGGAGAGAAGTTTGCCTTCGTTGCTTTCTATTGTGTGGTTATAGTTGTGAAAGAGCGTATTTAAACCTGAAGTATGACCTTTTTCCAAGTAGTTTTGTTCCTTGATATAACCAAGTACTTTCAATGCATAAAACTGTGACTCAAATCTGAAAACAATATTTAAAAACTAAACAAAATCTGCAGTAAAATCACATCTGGCTTTGAAGCCCAGTCTCCTGGGGAAAAACCGTGTTTCATCTATCAGTTTAGTACAACCTGCTACCTCTTTGGACGTTGTTACTGCTTAAACCATGTCACCAGGCTTCATAAAGGTCAGAAAGCTTTGAAGGCAACCTTCTCTCTCTAGCTTAATGAGCAGCATAGAGTAGCCATTAGCTGGTTACGTTACACTGGGCCATATATAATGTACAAAATTGCACTTTTAATTTTTTTTTTTTTTTAAGTTTGGCTTTTGTTGGTTTTGAGTGGAAGCGGTGTGTATGAGTGCACACTTGGTCTGAAAACTGGAAAGCTTTATTGAGTATCTTTTTTGTTGTTTTTAAATGTGGTATTGTAGATAAAGACTTCATACTGTATCAGCTTTTTCTTTTTTAATTTTTGGATGAATAAACTTCTCATTGGCCCTATGTGCTGCCTGAGACGGCAAAGGTCGGAAGAGCTGCTGTCATCTCAGTTTTCTGTATTACAGCTTTTGAGGCATGTTTACTTTGTGAAAATGGCACACAGTACTTAAGAAACGTATTTGCTGTATTTTTTTTTTTCTTTTGAACTGGGAAACTTGCTGATGTTCTGTCGGGTTTGAGAATATAAAATTCAAAAATCTCTATTGGGATGAAAACAGGACAAAACAGCAAAAAATGTTTAATTCCTTGGCGGTTTAAGGGGGTGGGGCTGGATTGGAAGTTGATCTGTGATCGTACAGAAGCAGATTCAGCTCAGCTTTCTTTGGTTGCTTTTAAAGGCTGTTGAATGAATGTTGTCCCGTATCACAGATGTCCTCAGTTTTAAGCCATGGCTGAGAACTCAAGCCTCCAGTCTCTCCTGATCATTATTGGCATACTGTGTGCCACCATCACAGCAAATGACAGGTGTTGCATCAATGAGCCAGTTTTTTTGTATTGACGGTATGTATTGCGATAAAAAGAATTGTCTAACTTTTAAAAACGTGTTCATATTTAATGTACAGTAGAGCCTTTGTCATCTTTGTAAATAAACATTTTTGCAATCAATAAAAGACGTTCAACAGCACATAATGTACGTTTCATTTCTGCAAGATTGTATCCGCCCAAAACCTGCAGACGTTTGTGTTTTTCAGTTCTGTGCTTAATCTAATGTAAGGATACGTTTCATAAAGAAAAAAAAACCCTGCATGGTGTTGGAGATGTGAGTACAGGTCCCACTAAAGGCTGTCAGGCCTTCATGCCACCCTCACAGAATCTATTTCTCACAATTTGGTCAGAAATATGGACACAAGTTGTCAGCTGTAGGTCACTTTATAGAGCAGTGGTAGTCGTCCTGATGCTGGTGTGATGCCCTTCTTTGAGCATCACACCAGTAGCAGGCCTGGTCCTGGTTCTTGGGCCTAATATCTCGCATGAGAACTGAACAAGCTTCTCGGATGAGAGGTGAAATGTCTTCAAGCAACTTAAAGAAGTCCAGACGCTTTTCTTTCCAAGCTCCTTAGACTAACTAATATCTCCTTCATGTCCCATCCTGAATGAAATGGACTCTCTGGACTGCAGGTCTCATATCATAATGCTAGCATGAGAAAAATCAGTTGGGTTTTTTTTTTTCTGGGGGGGGGCACACAGCAAGAGTCTCTGGGAATGACCTGTAAAACCATCTTTTAGGAGGTTGTCCAGTTTGACCTGTTGTTACTTTTCTTTCCACCAGAGCAAGTGAAACGGATCCACAGTGGTTTCTGCTTCTTAACTGGACAGGTTGATATCCCTGAAGTTTAACAAATTTTGTGTTATTCTGTAATGAAGCGTTCCCTTCATTTTGTGAGCGGTGTCTTGAACCAGCCGTACCTCTAGGTGGCAGCAGAGCGCTTTCAGCACTAATTTAATGAAACCGGAAAATAGCAACAGTAGCAGTTATGGCGTCCACAGCGGCGACCCGGACGGCAGCTGGTGCTGCTAAAGTCGTTAAACCGATTTTTAGCCGTGATTTGGACGAGGCTAAGCGCCGAGTCCGGGAGTTATACCGAGCATGGTACCGGGAGGTCCCCAACACAGGTACGTGTGCTCCCTGTAGCGGGTAAACTGTGTGGAAGAAGCAAGGCGAGCGTCAAGGTCGCGTCTATGGAGCGGTGCAGAATAATTAACATTAGCTGCTAGCACAGAGGATCCTGAATATGACAATGTTTTAAAGACTCTCTCCTCTCTTGTGTCAGATAGAGATGGTAATGTTTCCGTTTAATCTAGACTGTAAAGGGAAGTTCATGACTTCAAAGCAACCTTTAGATACTGACTCTAGCTAGCGTTCATTTTGGCTCCAGGCAGATGAGGCTGCATCGAGGATTATATACTCTGTACTTTATGTCCACACATTTTAACTTAAAATCATACAAACAAATACAGAATCGATTAAAAAAGAAAAGAAGTGCATATATTACGTTACGTTGTTGTGTGGGTTCATGCTTACAGAAGACCTGTTACTTTATTGAATATAATATGTAAAGCAGCTTCGTAACACCCGTAGTTAGCAAGAATTCCATGTTCAGCATTCACTTTGTTTTGGCTCCTAGCAGGTGGTTACTTACACGGTTACCCATCAGATCCTTTAAGAGGTTTATTTAAGGTGTACATCTAAGGGGTACATTAAATCTTCGGATTTTTAAAAGAACAATTTTCCTATATCCATATGCGGTGTAAAAATGTGGAACAGTACAAGTTTGGAATTAAATATATATATTGTTTTATGTGCAGACTAGTACATAGTTAATTATGTATATTGTCTGATTACATGTTATATCGAGGAACACTGATGAGTAAATTATTAAATAGCATTAAGGGAGTAGGATTAAATAAATGTGTACTTTAGACCTTTTCGAACATGTAAATTGTTCGCTGTATAGATTTATTCCTTGCAACGTGATTTTTTTTCTATTTTGCTTTCTGTTCAGTGCATTTTGTTATTACGATATTATTACTATTTACCTCTTCAAAATCAATCAATTACAAACAGAGTGATTTCCTTATGTTTAACACCCAAATGCTGATGATCATCTGATCTGATGTAGCAAAACAAATATGGCATAATGATGATGATGAGTGGCAACTTTGCAAAAACAAAGACAGTAGGACAATTTTATTTCAAATAGCCGCTGTAGATTGATTTAATTCATGCAGCTGTAATAGTAACATTTAGGAATGATGTCCTGGATAAAGTGTGTGTAGCAGAACCAAAATGGCTCTCCGTTTGTGTCTGTTCCTCTGCAGTCGCAATGTTTCAGCTGGACATCACAACACGCCAAGGAAGAGACAAAGTTAGGGAGATGTTTGACAAGAACAAGCACATCACCGACCCCCGTGTGATCGACATGTTGGTCATTAAGGTAAAAGCAGCACCTGTGACAAGAAACAGTAAATATGATTTTTCTCAAGGCGGTGTCTCTTAGGGCTCTGATTGCTGGTTAAATCTAACTTAGAGCCACACTGAGTTGTTTACTTCACGGTGTGTTGTGGTGTTCTCCGTTTTTTGTGTGTGTGTGCTATTTAAAGGGGAAAATGGAACTTCAGGAAACGATCCACGTCTGGAAGCAGAAGACCCACATAATGCGCTATTTCTACGAGTCTGAAGAACCTCGCCCCACCGACTTCCTGTCCAAATTCTACCGGGGACACGACCAATGAACTGTACAGCTCTCGGCCTGCCCTGTGACCTGTTTTTTGGTTGTGTCCAATTTGACAGCTGTTTCTCTTTATTGTAAATATACACTTAACAATCACCTATCTATAGTTCAGTCTCTTTTTATTATTGATATTGTCAGTTGGATCAATTAAAGCCATCAGCACACCATGACTGAACGTGCAGATGTGTTGTGAGCGGGTTGTTTCAAACAACATAAAGCTTTTTCACTGCAGACAGTAGGAAAAGCATGTGAGAGCTGAATCTTCATTATTATTATTGATTTCATCAGTTTTATTATTATTTTTTTCCTGCTGCTATGAAAAGCTTTAATCTTGTATTTGGAAAATTGACATTTCCAGACCAAAACTGAGCCAAAAGCTCTAACAGTAAGAGGGACAAATAACATTTTACAGTCTGGATTTTGTCCTCCTTAAGAAGGTATAATCCATAAAACTGGACATGAAACAGCTCCTGGGAATAACTTAACAGCTTTGTTCCAAACAAGTTTCATATTTCATGCAATGAAGTGTTTTAAACAGTTGATAGAAAATTAAATTTTATTGAAATCATTGTGTTCTGGTATCGATGTGTAAGATGTGAGTAGTGAATGACAAATACAGTACAATACGATCAGCCCGGGGCAGCAAAAACCCTGAATCTAGTGCACAAAGACGCAACTCCGGCAAGGTGTTAATCTGCTGAGATGCTCACTGACGCTGGGCGGTGGTCATCGTCACACAATACACAATCTGTGAGGGGCAGAAAAAGTGTGTTGATTTATTTTTACACTATAAAGGCCTGTAAACGGTTACATCTTAATATGAGATGTTTAAGAACTGCTGCAAAAGCCTGAAGAAAAATAAAGCAGACAGAAGCATTCAAGCTGCTAATGTGAGCGTAATGTTTTTATTACAGAGCTGAAGCTCTGAGCAGCAATCTTAAAGCCTGGTCGGCAACAGCAAAGGGGACCTATTGTACTGATTGGTGACTCCTCACAAAGATTGTAAAATGACTATGTATTGATTTTCCTTCTTTTTGACTCGCATGGATTACTCAGTGTTTTTCATAAAAGCATCCATCACTATTATAGTACACATATATATGATAGAAAACAAAGAATCTTAATAGGTACCTTTTAATGAAGCATGTTATTTTTTTTAATTGCAATGGTAACTCCCACATTTCAGTCTGTACTGAACAACACTGTACAACACAGACGGAGCAGGGAGCGTGCACTCTGCCACACGGTGACACCCACAGCGACAGCCAGCGATACCTGCTAACCTGAAGCTTTCCAGACCCCCTCAATCATCATCATCGTCGTCCTCGGGGACGAAGATGTCGTGCTCCTCCAGGAGGGCGGCAAAGTTCTTGCTGATCTGCGTCCCCACATACAAGAAGGGTACCACTATCAGGGCGATCCGGATAAGGCCGAAGGGGGTCTGCTCCCCGGTGTCACACACCCCACCACAGAAACAACAACGTTATTTAACGGCGCTCGTGAGACTACACCTTCCGAGGATCTGATTTCGTAACACTGCGTGCAAATGAGACTCACCTTTCTGGGTTTGGGGAGCATAGCACCGGACGACGAGCACACGGCCGTCCGGCACGCTGTCACGGTGTTCCCCGGTACACTGGAGGGGGTCAGCGGGGATCTGCGGGGGGCTCTGAGGATAGACAGCCTGACGAGGCGACTGAGGGCCGACGCCATGTTTACAGCGTTTGACGATGCAGCGGCAATGCGGAAAACGAACCGGAGATGAATTGTGATGTGCAAGAAGAGGGCGGAAACAGCGCCCCCCTGTGGTGACTCAACAGCACCGCGTTTTTGTTTTTATTTTCCCGACTGCATTTCCCAAAGTTGAAATAAAACACGGAGGCTATACATTGCGCTTTACTTTGTCTTGCAGCTTACATTTAAATATCATAATCCTTAGCAAACAGCGGTTCATTCATCTTAAAAAGTTCAGACGGCAAAAAGGCAAATCAATAAATTACTGTACAGCATTAAATATTTACAGAATTCTTATACTAACTAAAACATCAAGGAGCAGAAGAACAGTAATCATGACAAAATGCATTGAAATAGTGGACCGTACCACACAGTAGATACTGGAATTACGAGAGATGCATGCTAGACATGCACTGTTCAAGTGTTAAGTTACTCCGCTGTTGTCAAGTGAAGAAACAACCAGGTAAAGATCAGACTTCCTAAATGTGACTTAAATTATTTAAAGAAAGTTTCAATTTAAAAAAACAAAACAGATGTCTTTCTCAAGTACCAGAAATGAAATTTGACTTTTGTTTGAATCAAACGTGATGTAAACAGCTTCGTGGATGAACTGCCATCATCGCCCCGGTGCAGAGTCATCCGCAGCTTTTCGTCCCTTTCATCCTTACTCAAGTCCTTGTGGCTGTACCGCGTACTTGTGAGGCAGGGTCGTGGTAGCAGAGCTGGCTCCTCACTACAGAGTTGAGAGAGATTCACTCGTCAAAATTAGCGACACTCCAGATCTGACTGTCCGCACCCTGCGATTCCCTTTCTCACCTGATGTCTGAAGGTCAGATGTCTGAAGAACTTGCTGACCTCACCGGGTTTAAGGGCTCCCGCGGTCTTGCTGCCATCTCCTATCCACACAGTTTGCCCTTTGGTGATAGCAGCTCTGAGGCTCACACACTTGACTATGTAAGTGCTGGGGACAGAGTTGGGCATGGTACTGGAGGACACTGTGATGTAGGATGCGTCTTTCTGATGGTCTTGGTAGCGCACTATCAGTGAGGAAGAGTGGTCATTCATTAAAAAAAGTACAGAGTACAGTACAGAGAGAGGCTCTGTTCTATGTTTCTTTTTAAAGGCACGGTGGCGATTACCTGCAGATGTGACTGCTGTGTCTGTGGTACTGGCGAGCTCCAGCAGAACTGTGGGATATGTAGGATGGAGCAGGTAGAGCTTTCGAATGAGAGGCTCTGCCACGGCAACACCCGGCGACACCTATAAACAGCCGGAGAGCACATTTAGCACAAAAGACTCCTTAACAGAGTCGAGCACAATGGAGTAAAATGATCACAGAGGGCTCCTCTTCCTGGGTTCTCATTAACCTAGCAATTCTATCTGAGGAAGACTTACGGTTGTCTTGGTAACATTCTTCTGTGCTTTGATTGGATCGCTGGCCCAGAACAGGAAAGCGGATTGGCCCGTGGACGTGGAGATTGCAGAAGTTTCTATACGAAGATGGGGACACACGAACTCGGCGGCCCACAAACGGGTCCCATTCGCCCCATCGATGATTAATGTCTGAAAGACAAAGAAGAGGAGGAAAAACCACCAGTAAGATCGGAGCAGATGTTACATGTCAGCAAAGTAATTTCAGCCCTGAGGGGGAAAAAAGCATGAAAGAACCTTTGGTTTGTTTGTTTTACCTTCATGACTCCGTTTGATGAATGCTGAATGAAAAGATCGAGGATTCCATCGCTATTGAAGTGTCCTGCCACTGGTTGACTGTGACATACAAATAAGTATTTTAGGAATGCATATTTTTCTAGTTTTCCAAAGGATGGGACAGATGTTTTGGTGGAATGTGATTTTTAAAAAACAACAACAACAAAGATCGGGGCATGCAGCTAAAATGAAGTCAGGGAAACCATATCTGACTGAGTGCTCTTCTCTCTAATGATTTTGCATTAATCACACGATTACCACACAGAAAGTTGCTAAAACAACAGTTACATGAACTATTGAAAACTTCAGACCACCTCATGGCAATAGTAAGGCGCCCCTCGCCAAAATATAATTTTCAAGCACATCAGTTTGTTCAAACCTCACCACCCTCAAGTGGTTGCTGCAGGGGGGAAAAAATAAACAGGACTGTACCTTTGACTGGAAGCTGTTTTGAAGGTCCATTTCTTTCGCAAATTCTTCTGCCGGAGCAGCAACTGTACGCTGCCTCCATACACCAGCACCCAGTCACTTCTGGTGGAGTTCAGGTTCGAAGCGGTGTCCAGGTTGTTGTGGTTTCTGCCAAAACCAGCCACAAGAGGGAGCAGGAACCTGGCCTGGTCATGGTCACGTGGGCTAGAAAGGACACAACAAAGATCTGATTTTGACTTATTTTAGACAAAAACATATATCTAGTAATCTGCTTTCTACTTTAGTGCCAGCTGGTTAAATGTATTTGGTATTTAACAAACAAAGAAGAGTTTGCACATTGAAAACAGATCTATGCATCAATAGCAGACACCCACCTGTAAATTTGTATGATGGAAGAGAAATTGTCCTTCTTCATGCCCTCCCACCCTGAATCCTTCTTTCGAAGCGCCTGAGTTTCGGGCAGTTTTCCAGTAGCCTGAAAGTAGATGTCTCGCAGGGAGACGGCCTTCACATTACCTAAGGGAACACACGATGACACAAGGTCCTGTGAAACCACCATTAAAATAACTTCAAGGGTCACTTCAATAGCTCTTAAATGAGCTCCTCAGAATCAGTTGTTGTTGTTCAATAACTTTAGTATATTTAATGAAAATATGCTTAATTTTATCTGATTATTTTCCCAGTTAGAAAGCTGTGAATGTCCTTCAAGAAGCCCGGAGAACTATTCCTGACGACTACTTAATGAAATCATAAGAAATCTGCCTAAGACAGATCAGGCTGTGTTGTAGAATAAAGGTGGTCATACCAAATTTTGACTTTCAAGCTGGTTAGAAAACTGTGTTTGCCTAATACAGGATTTCCGTGTGTTTGCACCTGTTTCCCATTTTGCTAGAAAAATATTATAATATGTGTCGTTATAATCAAAACTCTTGCAATATGAGCACACAGAAAAGCTCATGGGGTGATTCTTTTTGGAGCAATCTTTAAGTATTTAAGCAGTTAACCTCATGGTAGTGAATCTAAAAGAAGGAATGAAAGAATAGGAAAGAAAAATATTCCGCTCTTCTCCCCTCTGCTCTTCTTCCCTTTTCTGGGAGGCAGTGGAGAGGTAGAGCGTACAGCTCGATCCGGCGGAGAGGTGTTGGAAGCCAGATCGGGTCCCCCCCTTCATCGCAAGGGGGGACCCGATCTGCCTTTCGTTGAGGCACACAACAATTTCTCCATTTAAAGCAGCATTGTCAGGGATTGTAACATTTAGTCCTTTTACTGAAACGTCACCTAGACCAAACAGGATGTAGTA